ATGTTGATATTGTATACTCTTCCCGGTGTGGTTGACGTACTGCTACATTGTGCGTGTGTGTGTCACATACATGTACAAGCTTTCTCCATTCTCAGGACCTGGAGAGCTTTCATCTGTGCATTAAAACCCTTCACCTGCTCAAAGCCATGCCACGCGATGCAGAGGTAATATACAGAAGCATTCTTAGACCTTCATCCTGTTCATCCTGCAGCTGCACGCCAGCACTTCTCCATGAGCTATTCTAAGCTGCAAAGTAGATTGTGTTGTTTTATAAGAGATTATAAGGCTGATACCCTCTGATGTGTGTCAACACAGCAGGACTTTTGCATCTTTAGCGACCAGCTCCCTCTGTCAGACTGACTGCGATGGAAAGATCTGCTCTGCAAAACCCTTTACAGATTAAAAAGAGCCGAGTTTTGTTTCTGTAAGTCCTCTCATTGTGTCATACCCCTACCGTCTCCAGAGCAGGAAGACACAGGAAGTTAAAGTCTGCTTTTATCTGCTGCACACAATAGCGGCACTGTGCCTCCCAAGCTTGAGTTATTACTCAGAGGAAATCGTTATGGAGGAAGAATGTATCAAAGTCGTTTGATTGTGGAGGATCACAAGTTGTGCCACAGGAGAGGAATTGTGGTGTAGGTCTGCCCTCCCCCAATCCTCTTTTTTTGTAGCTTCCGCAAACAGTTCCCAGTCCTATCTGTAAGTTGGCGAGACAAGCTCCGTTTCATCTTCAGTATGAACGTTTGAAGGCATGCCTACATGCCTACAGTTTGACAAGAGTGCCACTTGTTGGCAAGTCACGTTACTGCGTCAGGAGACTGAGTCAGTGCATTTCTGCTACGTACCTTTCCACTCCTTTCAGCAGAATGTTTGAATGATTTCGTTGGCCATGATTAATAATGGATTCACCTGGTCAAACTGTTCCAAACCTCGGTCTGTTCAGTGGAAGATAAACCAATATCCCTGAGTCCGGGCTGAAAACTAGAGGTCAGGGCCCCGAGGCTCTGGAATGACCTGCCTGATGACGTCAGGATTTCGGAGTCAGTGTCTTCTTTTAAGTCTTGCCAGAAAGCATTGTCTGATTTTATCTGATAGGCTAGCCCTCCTATTGTTTTAATTTCACTTTAATTTGTGCATGTTATGTCGTTTTTGATTGTTGTCTTTTTTAACTGTTATGATTTTAATGTTTTTATCTTCTGTGAAAGCACTTTGTTCTCTGCTTTGCTAAGTGCTCTACAAATAAAGTTATTATTATTATTATTATTTTACATCACATGCATGCAAACAGCTTCCATCGGTACAGACACTGTAAAAAGTGGCAATCCCTTCATCTGAGGTTTGGGGTTTTCAGCATGGTGATAACGTATACCTTAGAAAATTGTGTGTTGGTTTGGCAAATGTTGAACCATAAACTATCTAAGACTGTCTTAAATGGTGCATCAAATGTAAAATCAGTGGAGTGTCCCTTTAAAACTGTCAAGATAGTTTTCAAGACATCGTGTTCAAATGAGCATGGTAATGGTAACTGGCTAATTCAGCATAACATTCACGAGTACGGCTATTTCAGGCTGATATGGGTCAGTAATATAATTCTGCATAAATTGATTTACTTCTCGAAATAACATTTTAATATCCATAAAGTTTAAAGCTTCAACACATACAGTTTACACATACATTCATGCCAAATAACCCAAACCTTTTTTGTTTTTTTTGTCTAGGTGTTTCTTGTCTCCCTGTAGAGACAAGATACTGTCAGTGTTTTGTGATGTGTGTGTGGGTGGTCTGTGCGTGTGTGTCCTGAGGATGTCCAGCTGTCAGAGCTAAACTAGGTTAAACTGAGAGATGTCCTTTAAATAGAGACATATTGGCAGAGGCGGGCTGACCTGATTGATGGTCCTGCCCCATGGGGACAAGGAGAGAAACCGCAGTGAGACACACATTAAAATAAGGAATCTGTCAATGGTTTAAAGAGGAGAAGCCTAAGATTTTGTTATTCTGACATGTCAATGTAAATACTTTAATGCCTAGCAGCAGGGATTTCCTAATTCTTCAAATTACTGAGTTATGACCAGCTGCAGTTTAGAGGGTAGAAATAGAGGATTGTGACTGAAGAAGTGTTTGTTAAATCCCTAAATCCACTGGAAACTCTGCCGTCTCCGAGCTAATACTTTCAAGGTGTCCTTGAACAAGGAACTGAACCATGAACTTTCTAGAGGATGTGCTCAGATGTCAACAGCAAGCACTGTGGGCAGCTCCCAGGTGCAAATGCAGACATGCTCAGTCACCATTCACAAATAAAAAGAAAGGAAGAATTTTATTTAAAAAGAAATAACACACTCCTTTGTGCCTCTTCTCTCCCGCTATTCTTACTTAACACTCCACTGCTCGTCCTTCTAGGCCTTCCAATGGCAGCCAAGCCAGCGCTGGGCCTTTAATTGAGCGTGCTGCTCAGGGAAGTGTGTTCAGAACAAGCACGAGTTACACACAAACACACACAAAGCTCTACAGCAAGAAGTGGGGCATGCTTTGCTCGCTGCCTAACAGCAGTCATGATGAGAATACAGAATAGGATGTGTGTGCGTGGTTACTTACTAGCTTGTGTGTCTCACTGCGTACAAATTTATTTATTTATCTGATGTAATAACAAAATGACTCTGCAACAACCCAGTTCAATGTGTGGCAAGTTTCTGTGAGAGAGTTTGAAGTTTTCATAATTTCTTTTCCAGAAATGTATTTGGAAATCTCAGAGAAATTAGAACTGAAGGCACATCCTGCATGTGGGGAATGTTAAGCATGATGTAGCCAGATATATATTCAATAAAATCCCAAACAAATTAATAATTCAATTATCAAAAAACCAACTGACTGATTAAATCCCTGGGGCCCCGGTTCGTATTCCAGCCTGGTTTTCAAGGTCAAACATTCATGCTCAGTTGTTCTGTTAGGTTTTCCCATCAGAATGTATAGTATAGTGTAAAGTATAAGTACTAACTAATAAAATATTTAAAGCCCCTGATATCTTGGTTTAACAGTATTGCTCTAGAACATTAAATATTCATGACTGAATAAGCAACAATCAAGTTTGGAAAAGAATAATTCTAAGGTTTATTAAACTTAGCTAATCAGGTTTGGGTGTGGTTTGATAAGACTTGATGAACAATGGCCACACATGCAGATCCTACAACTGCCATCGCTTTTTCACTCGAGTGTGTTGAAACCAATATGAAGGGCACAGAATAATAGAGAAATATCCACGTTAAACAACCAAAACTGCTTTAACTTGGCAGAACATTTTGTTTCCTGCTGGACACAGTTCAAAGCTGAGAAAATGTGTGTTTCAGGCCGCTAAGTGAAACGATGCCTCACCTCTGAGTTCAGCCTTAAGCACACAAAGACAATGCATGGCTTCTCTTTCTCCAACCAGGGTGTCACAATCAGCAACCCGTTCTCACTCCCAGGTCTGAAACAAAAAGTCAATATTGACTGTTTTTATTTAAGTTATGGAAGTAACATACTTGATCTACGTAAGTTAAGTCACGTAAGTAACACTGACAAGCCAAACCATGATCTTTCCCTAAACCTAACCAAATTGTGATGTTTCACAACGTTAACTAGTAGTTTTATTTTGAAAGTTTAACCGGGCGTTGCATATTTTTTGTCAGTAACTTGACTGCAGAGCCCTTCATGCTGAAAAACAACACTAAAGGGGGTCTGAGGGCATTAAAAAGCAACGCAAGACTCTGGATATCTATATGTAACAGCCGGTGAGGTCCATAAATTGAAATACTAACATAAATCCAAAACGGGTAGATCATCCAAATACCCTACAGGAACACTATGCAAACAGAGACCCTCAACATAGAAGCAGGGACCCGGACAATATATACAGACAAACAACACGAACATAAGCAGGTATGACACATTAGGTAATCAAGACAACAGTAAACAAAGCAGGAGACAGACAATTACCAAACTAAAACAGGAAACAGGAGAAACACGACAGAACACACAGACCCAAAACTGGGTAGTAAACGGGAACAAGCATGAGACACCCCCTTCCCCGACACAGACAGTTACCAACAAAATCCAGACCCAAGCAGGCACACGGACAAAACAAACAGGCACACGGACCAAATCCTGACAGAGGGGCCTTGTCACCATTAAAAAAAATGGGACAGGTGTTGTCTGTTTGACATGATGGGGTTTCAGTAGGTCCTTGAGGAGTCAAAGAGGTTTTGCCCGAGAGTCAAAATGAGAATAAATAGCTCTTGATTGAAAAGAATGTTTTAAATCATCATTACACTCTGCACATTCCTTTCCTTTTCTACACTTTACGTCTCTTTAATGCATTGCGTTCATTAATCTAAAACCTTGGCACAGATGTTTAGAAGGAACACAGCTGTCAGCAAATGATTTTCATTATTTGGCTGACTGAAGAGAACAGTTGAAAATGCTACTACGCTATAACGAGCACTCTCTGCAAAGACCAGGCGCAGACAACACTGAGGTGGCGATTTACACCTAAAAATCCCGTTTCCCACCTCTGCTGGACTCCTACAGAATGTGACCGCTGCATTAGTTCCTATCGATTACCCCTATTGGTAGCCTTACTTCTGGGTGTCCAGGACATAATTGTGATTGGTGGGTTGGCCTGGTGTGCCCTGTGTTTAATGCCTTCACTTTATGAGCTATAAAACTCTGAACAGATAATCAATACAGTGTCGCTGCGGTTTAAGCAGCATGTAAGGTTGATGGAAAGTTCTCATGGCCCAGAGAATGGCCTGGAATAACTGTGCGTGGCCATGAATACATTCATATTCATCAGTTGCAAGCAGGAGAATTAATATGCACAAGTATTGATAAGAGGAGAACAGCGTCTTTGCATGTTCCACAGACTGCTGACTTAGCGATGAATACGTCACATGACATTACCCTTTGGCCCTTTGACCTCTGACCTCTGTTTTCTTCCCTTCCTACCTCTCTGTCTGTCCCTCTTTCAGGTCGTGCTGGTAGGTTCATCCATAAATGAAAGGGATAAGATGCTGTTTATCAGCACGGACGAAGGTTCCTCCTTCCAGCGACAGTCCATCTCCTTTACCCCGGACACGCTCATTTTCCACCCCAAGGAAGAAGACAAGCTCGTGGCCTACTGCAAGGAGGGCAGGGTGGGTATCACGAAGCTGCGGAAACATGAAAATGAATGATTCTGTAGCTCAAAGAGTGAACAAAAAGACATTTCTGCTGTCTGCGCAGCAATGCATTAAATTTCAATTTCCACATGAACCAGCAGAACACGAACCTCAGAGAAAACGTGATGCGTGATTCACCATTCAACAAAAGAGCTGTGGGGCAAATCTTCTTATGCAAGGGAAATAAACAGCACAGTGGCCAGATCCACACACACACACACTTTGATATTACTTTCATATTGAAAACATGTCGGAGTCTCTCTTGGCTGTCTGTCAGAAGCTCTTTGAAATCTTTTGGCTGAAAAGAGAAAAATGTCTGCACTTTGATTCAACAAATACACACTGTACGTCCATTTGTATGTACTTTTTTCTACCTTGATTCCACCAATATCATTGTGGTTGACAATTCAGATACCCTTAAAGGATTTGAAATTTGAAGCTAATTTTCATAGTTTTGGAAAAAACTATGAAACTTAAACACGAGCAGTCAGACATTCAGACAAACTGTTCGCTTGTTAACAAGTTAAAACCTGGCTGATGTCAAGCTTGAAATTATACCTAGTGGTGGAAGCTGCAGTGCTTTGAAGCTGTTTCACATCATGAAACATCTATTATAAAGTAAAATCATAAAGAAATACATTCGCTGTGTCAAGTGCATTGTCAAAGCTGACTAAGGATACTACTCAGTGCATCAGAGCACTTAGTGGTTTTTCTAACAGACGAGTGGAGGCAGTTGGTAATTATTTTCATTTCAAGATTCTAAGTGAATGCCTCGCTGTGGTCTTTTGAAATCCCATCGAAGAAAGTGGTCAGTGTTAATAGGTAGGTGTTAAAGTAGGCTAATTAACACTAACAATTAGACTGTCAGGGATGATTCTCGGGTGCTGCTTAATGTATTGATAATAGTTGTGCTAAATGGCTCTCCATGTCATGCACTCTGTTTTCCACCCAGCCCTCTCTACTACTCATTTACTGCTAACGTGTCAGTACGGACTGAGATGCTGCAGTTGGATGGATTACTTATGTCTTGTTGCCAGGAGGGTAGGACTGGACGATCTGGCCAAAAGTGTTATCTCAATAAAAAGTTTCATATCTTTCGATAACGATAATTATCACGATAAGTATCAAATCGTTATTTCTTTCGAGTTTAAAGGCTGATTTTGGCTCCTGAGTGAAAATTGAAGAAACCTGATGGTTAATTGTGGTTTAAACTCTTCTTTATGGTCAACACTTGAGGCCAGAAAGTGGATCACTACACAAATCTGAGGTAGAACAATTCAAAACCATTTTGATAAAATCTTTTTTAACAAATATGCATGAGTAAAAAACCTCATTTTTTCTCAACAAAATAAACAACTTAATAAAAAATATTAAGTCCTAATTTGTGTATGATTCAGGTGAATAAAATCAAACATTTGTTGACTATTTATTGAACATTTGTTATATTGTTATTGAAAAAAATTATATTGCAACAATTATGGTTTTATTGTCCAGCCCTGCAGGAGGGATTAAGATGGTTGGGTTGGGAGACAGTCGTGCCTGCAGCACTGCAGAAGACATTAAAACACAGCAAATGTGATGATCTGCCAGCCTTTACACTGCATGTGATTTTTGTACTGCAGTGTTTTTCAACCTGGGGTTGAGGGCCCTGCGAAAGGGTCCAATGCTAAGTCTTAGGGCTGTTAGATTAAAATAGTTTTTCTGCTCTTCTTGTGAAATCCTTGATTCTTTCACCTTCGCAGGCCTCAAACCTGAGAATCTGAGAAAAATCACACTTTGGTTGAACTGCTTACAGCTCATGTCAAGACATGCTAAACTATGGATGACAGCCCACAAGTTTACATTGATGCATTTTAAGGGAACACAAGCCACAAATATTGGCAATCAAATGCTTTAAGGAACACAAGTTTCACGATTTCTTCCACTGGCAAGTGACGGACTAATCACTCCCAATAGTATTTCTTTTTCAGAAAGCCAAATATAGCAGGGAGGCAGGGTCAGCAACACAGATTATAGGAAATGTCATCTTTATTTAAGAGATGCGAACGTCAACAAGACCAGCGTTGTGAAGCCGAAGCAACTAATTATCTCCAGCACAGTCTGGTTTATTTAATCACAAAAAGGTGGCACAGTAGAGGTGGCAGTGATATACTGCTGTTTGAACATGATATGCTGTCTTGTTTAACCATGATAGTGTTTTCAATTGGAAGAACATACTGCAAACAGAGGCTCATACACACATTTAACAAGTGAAGAATGGATGTTTTTGTCATTATAATGAGAAAAGTATTTTATTACAACAATCATATGTTCGTCTTGTTAAACAACATGCATAGATTTTCATTTACAGGAAAGATCTGGTTTATTCTGTTCCAGAGAGAATTTATATACATCACCTCGGCTTGATTAGTGATTAACTGAAAAAATTATTCTTAATGGGATAAGGAATAATAATTATTTAAATCCTATTATCTATATATTAAATCTTTTCAAAGCTGAACTCCCACTATTCATTTATTTCATATAACAAGAAAACATCATCTTAAATATGGTGAAAAGTTTTACATTAGTTCATTTTATTCACTTGTTTTTATTAATTTATGTAATTGTTTCTTCTTATTTTCTATTATTTCTATTTTGTAGCTTTTCATTATAATGCATTCACTTATGTAATTACTTATGTATTTCTAAGAGGTTTGTTATTTTACATTACTTTTTTCTAGCTTATTCTGTTGGTATTTTAGAGATAATTACACAACATAACTTGAAAAAGAACAGAAAACCAACAAAATGATGAATGAAGTGTCTATGACAAAAGAAACTAAGAGTTAAAAACTCAAATAATCACTCACAATCACAAAATCCCACCGGAGACCTTTGTTGCCTAACATAGACATCAAATAGTGATGAAACGCCACGAAAATCATAAAAAAACATTTGGATCCAGTATTTCATATCAAATCAAATAACCAATTAATCAGCATTTTACAACTTACACTCTCAAACATTCACACAAATACACGCACCTCCTAATTGAAAAGTGTACTGTACAGTAGAAATTGCAATGGAGACATAGAGGTGGCTCCAATAGTTCACATGTTTGAGCCAGCTCAACTTTAATAATTTACAAGTAATTAAACAAGGAATTCAATTAGGTTTTAATCTGTTCCATATGGGCAGGCTGCAGATGGAAACGAGGAATCAATTCAAACAGAACAAAAACATCATTTTGCTAAAGACCTCGTAGCGGCACGTGCAAATTAAGAAGGTTCGTGAGGGCAGAGACAGATTTCTCTCAAGGTCAGCCGTAGCTTTCCTTTTTCACAGCTAGCCATGTGAATGAGTTTGATCACTGATGACTCATCTGAATCTGATGACCCTGAGCGAGAGAGGCTTTTTATGACCAGTATGTTGACAGGAAGTGCTGCCTTCGCAACCAAACCTCTGTCAATAATGAGCATTGAGAAAGCGCTTCAGAGTTTCATAAAACTGTGTATTTGTGTTTTTGTGTGGTGGAGGAAGTTTGTGTGCTGAAATCCTTTTTCTCGACTCCAATGTGTTTTTCAGACATCAAGGATAACTTGTGGGTAGGAATCAATAGGCTTTCATTATGAGTGCGATCAATGCCGCACAAGCTCAGGCAACACACACACTACTGCAAACACACTGCTCATAAAATATTTGGCACACACCAACTGCTATGAGTAATTATTAATTGAGCTCAGTCTTAACTTGGTGAACCATGAAATTCAGTAGTTTGATTGGGTGAACTTTTTCTTCCAAATAGACTCTTGATTTATCCTCCTTTGTAAAGGATACAGCTGGTAATAGGGCTAGTGTTAGGTATTATAGTCTGCTGCTACACACTCCGAGTGTGTATTTTCCTGTCTAATTGTCATTGTCTCTCTGTTTTCTGTGTCCAGCTCTTTGCTTCCACAGACCTGGGCCGCAAGTGGACTTTGCTTCAGGAGCGGGTGACCAAGGACAGAGTCTTCTGGTCAGTTCAACTTGGTTTTCTCATTATTGGATGAATAAGGACTTCATGATGTTAACAGTCTCAGTTGGTGACTTTTTAATTGATACATGTACAAAGCAGCAACAAAGTAGGCATTCATTTCATCAGCAGGCATTCCAGCAGGCAGAGGATTCTTTACTTCTTGTTACAATGATGATACATAAGTAGCCCTTGTTCACACAGACATATACAAGACCTTGCTGCACAGACAGACATCATGGTTTTGTAAGACTAAGAAATGAAATGAGATGAACAGTACTAATAAGGCTACAATTAAGTGAAATGTTTCTATGGCATGGTACAACTCTCTCATATTCAGTGGGTCTGTAATGCCAAAGGTCTTTTCTAAAGTACCAACATGTTCTCGCTTCCATCTCATCACATATAGACGCTGGGGCAAGACCCCTTGGGTCAGTTTTTAATGGGGTGCCCCTTTTTTTGGCCCTTTATTTCTGGACAAGCAGGGCTCAGAGGTCAAGTTAACAACAATAAAAATGCAACGCCCGGTTTGTAAAATGCTTGCAGTTTGGTTAGGCTCCAAACTACTTGGTTCATCCATCCATCCATCTCCAACTGCTTGTCTGGAATCGGGTTGTGGGGGCAGCAGATCCAGCAGGGGACCCCAAATCTTACCGATTGAACCACATTGACCAGCTCTGACTGGGGGATCCCGAGGCGTTTCCAGGCCAGTGTGGAAATATAATCTCTCCACTTAGTCCTGGGTCTTCCCCGAGGCCTCCTCCCAGCTGAATGTGCCTGGAATACCTCCCTAGTGAGGTTCCAAAGGGGGCATCCTTACCACATGCCCGAACCACCTCAACTTGCTCCTTTTGATGCGAAGGAGCAGCGGCTCTACTCCGAGTTCCTCACGGATAACTTGGTTCCTCACCTTTTCTCTAATGGCGAAGCCAACTACCCTCCTGAGAAAAAACATTTTGGCTGCTTGTACCTGCAATCTACTTCTTTTGGTCATGACCATATGTGAGGATAGGAACGAAAATTGACTGGTAGATCGAGAGCTTTGCCTTCTGGGTCAGCTCCCTTTTTGTCACAAAGGTGCGGCAGAGCGAATTCTTAACACTATTCACCTGCTCCACCTCAGCTCCGGGTAGACAGGAGTTTCTCACCTCCTTTTGTTCTAAAATCAACAGTCTGCTCCTTGGTTTTGCTGACGTTAAGCACTAGGTTATTCAGCAGTCCTCTCCATGCCGGCGGTTCCAGTCATGGGTGTACAGCGTGAACAGGAGGGGGCTGAGCACACAGCCTTGGGAGTCTCCGGTGTTGAGCACTTGAGTGAAGGAGGTGTGACCGCCAATCTGAGCTGTCTGGGGTCTGTTTGTGAGGAAGTACAATATCCGGTTGCAAAGTGTGGTGCTCAAGCCCAGAGTGCTAGGTTTGCCAATCAGTTTCATGGGGAGATTGTGCTGAATGCTGAGCTGAAATCCACACACAGCACTCCGTTTTTTCAAGGTATGTGAAAACTGAATGGAGGTCAGTGTAGCTGGCATCCTTTCCCATGCCTGTGCATTAATCAAGAATCTGGGATTAGGACATGTTTAGCCTGGCTTGACTAGGCTAACCAAGACTGGAAACTGGGGACACAGCCATCCTGTCCAATGTGAAAAAAAATCACTAACAACACATTATATACTGCAAGCTTGTGCTAACTATTTCTTGGTGAAAGACGGTCGGACGCTGTGTCTACTGCTTAACAGTGGTCTGGGTTTGATACCACCGTGCCTGTACAGAGAGCAAAACCGGTGCTCACTGATCTAATCTGGTATCTACTACTGCAGCACTGGGCAGGTGGATAAGCTATTTCTCAAGAAATATTTCCAGCAAACATTCACGGTTCCCGTAGTGAATCCTACTGACTTTGGCGATCACCTGACTTCTCCTCTAGCACCACGGTGAGATCTGCATTTGAGGTCTTGTTTAAAATATGTGTCTTGCTGCTTTCTGATAGAGCAGGGATTTAATGAACTGAAGCGGGAACTTTTCATACAGTCCAAACTGTGGACAGCAGAGACCGTAAGCATAGCCTATTATTTATAGATCAACGCAGGCTGATTTGCAGATATTTCTGCTTTAACCACATTAAACATTAATATTTGATGCTGATTTGCATCTACTGTGCAAAGTCTAACTTAATCAAAATACCAACAACTTTCTTTGCGCTGCCCTATTTGAATGAACCTCCCACCTGTTTGCAACTCTCCTCCCACCCGTGCATTCAGCAGCACCAAAACAGCAAGCCATCAGAGCGCTGCATCAGTTGGTCGTTGCACTGCCATTAAAAAAAGGGCACTTAGTTGTGTTTTAGACTTCTAGTTAAAAAAAACAAGACACATTGTGTGGATAAGACAACTTTATTTTGTTGATAGGTGTATTTTGGAAGAAAGCTAGACTAGCCAATACCCCCTGCTTTCAGTCTTTATGCTAAACTAGGCTAACCAAATTCTTGCTTCAGGTTTAATGCACAGAAACGAGAGTGGTATCAAAGTTTTCACCTCACTTTCAGAAAGAAAGCAAAAAATGTTTTTAGGTATATATCACCTTGATTATCATCAAAGAGTGAGTCAAAACAATCATTTATATTAAGTAGAATATGTACAGAGATCATTTCCTCTGCAACAGATACATATATTCATACCATTTACTGGTTTATACTCTAGATTGTGAATGTCGGTAGATGGTAAATATGGTAATACAACCATGATGTGGGAGCTTGTTTTATTTTATGTCTTCATTTAGGCTGCTTGATTTATTGGATTCAAATCCAGGAACTATATTTTGATCAAGCTTTTCCAAACATAAATTTGATCTCCTGCAGTTGTAGGTTTATTTTTGACTATATCCTGATCCTATTATGCTGTCATTTACACAATATTGCTCAAACAATAAGATGATATCTATCCCAGATATTAATAAATCTGTTTTATGTTCACCATAATACAGAAACCTGCTGCTCCAGTTTTCCTTAAATTAGAAATTTGAATTGGATTTTATCAAAAGTGCTGGGGTTTATGCAGCAGAACCTTTTTATAGATGAATCTCTTGATAGTTTTGTGGTTCCAGTGGCAGAAAAAGAACTCACGGCAGACAGAGTTAAAATGGCTTTTCCGTGCAAAAGTAATATTTCACAGCTTCAGAGCTATCTCTACCAATACTTCGCCTCCTCATCATCGCCTTCATCTGATCTCGTGTTGTGTATGCCTCCCTCTTTATCTCTTTTCCTCCATCCACTGAGTGCTCCTCAACATTGTTGCCTCTTTCCCCGTCTCAGTGTTGTTTCTTCTTACTCTTCAGTCCGATCTGTGTTTTTGTTATGTGATGCATTCAAATGTGCTACATTAAAATACAACTGACTACACTGTTTCTCATTTTCTGAAGGTCAGAAAGGCATTGCAAGCTCCTGTTAGTTTTTTTTCTTCTCGTCGACGATAGCAAATGAGCTGGTTGGTGTGCCTGGACACCTCTGATTTATACCAGCAACTCTAACGCACAAATCATCCACACTGTGCTATAAAAAATGAGAAGGTAGAGGAAAGAAAGAGGGAGGACTGGAGAGGGAAAGAATCAGCACTAAGCGCTTCCTACTTCTCACTAAAGTTACATACTCAAGATCAGACTTGGGATCTGAATGTGCAACCTATACCTTGAGCCCTGATGACTAAAGTCTGACTTGAAATCAATCACTGCACCTTGCTATTGTTTCTTAAGAAATAATAATAATTTTATTTTTAGAGTGCTTCATTGTGCTCAAAGATACTGATACTCAACCTGTTCTCATCCCAGGGCGTCACATATAGATGCTTCGTCAAGAACCATTGGCGTGGTTTTTGTATGTGTAGGATCAAGTTAGCAAGAATAAATATGCAAAATCCTGTTACACTTTCAAAATAAAACTACTTTTTAACGTTATGAAATGGCCGATGGTTAATGTTGGAAAACACAGTTGAAAAGATCATGGGTTGGGTTAAAATAACTACGTTACTCGTGTGACATAAATTACGTAAGTTAAGTAATGTTACTTACGTAAGTTATGTAAAATCACTAAAAGTTGAGTTTTTGTTTCACAACAGAAACAAACCTGGGTGAAAGTCCAGTTTTTTTCCCACCTGCCCACCCCTCCTCCTTACTCAGACTTTTATCTTATTTATAGCAGTACCTTTAGCATGGAACAATGGTACTAAAGGGTTTCCCACAGTGCGCTGAACTATGATGCAAAAGGCTGGATTGTCCGTTGGAACCAGACGCTGAAAGACCTGACAAACATAGCTATTTGACACTCTGGGTATGAGATAAGATACCTCCCATAAGTTAAACACACAACGTTTTGGTTCAGTCTCATCACTTCCAGCCATACTTACCGTACACTACCTGCTCAGCAGCAGACAGCAGACAGACACAGTTAGAGACTAACTGGAGAACACGGTGGAGCATTTAGCATTTAGCACGGTGAATATTGGTCTTACATTTATCAGGTGACCAGAAACAGGACTCCTAATAAATGCTAATGTTCCTCTGTGTCTGCTGGATGTGTACATATGCAACTATTGGCTAACATGTTAGACACAAGTTCCCATCTCAAGCTTGGAAAGAAAGCAAGTAAGCATATTCCTTTAAGGTTCACCGACACTTTGATTTCACACCTGGAGTTCATTGTATTAAGTTGTAATAAAGTACAGATGTTTTATATGGTCTGGCTAAAGATGTATCTAGAATTATTATTTTAAAGTGTACATGTAATCCTTGTCATTCTGAAATTGAACCACATATTTTATTTGCCTCAGCTAAAATTGCCTGTAGGCTACACTCTCTTGCACATTGGGCCTACACATACTGTAAGGTTGCAACCTTCTTCTCCTGTAAAAAGAGTATATACTGTATGTGGGCAGGCCTGTGCATACAGGTGCTGTTATTCGGAGTTCACACAGTTAGCTAGTTGCTGGGTCTGGCCTTGCTTGCCTTTGGCCTAACAGTCATAAAAGCAAGAGGAGAACTGGAGTCTGGCAGCCAGCTCCCATAAATCACATGAAAAACATCTCATTAAAACCAATCTGCTGTTGGGGTGGTCTGGCCAAATGTGTTCCTCTGGACCTTGTTTTTGTGATCCTGGGCTGTAAAGTTTGCGTTTGTCATCCGGAATGAAAAGAAACTGCAGTTTTTGAAATTGAACTGGCATCTCACAGGATGACAACTGACAACAAAAGCAAACATTTGAGAATAGGCTATAAAAATGAAATGCTGTGAAAAGCATGTGGATAAAAGCGTAATGGAATGGCAGTGAAACCATAGCTGGGATGAAGTCCAGGGAGGCTGCCTTCACAGAATGTTGCACTTCGTCCTCCATTTCTTCTAAATAAATCTCTTTTCTTTGGGTCAACACCCTCCATCTCTTTATCAGTCCTGTCAATCGTTTGTTTCATTTGCCCTGCTTCCCCTTTCAGCCCTCTCAGTCTGTCTGCTTCCATTTCCCTGACCAAAGGAGAAGGAAATCCCTCACTTAGATGGTGATGAAGGTCTAACTGGACCAAAACGTTAGTGGAATGAATAAAGTTTATTTGCCAGTGCAGAGTGCGCTTTCACCTTCAATCTTAGGAATTTGCATTTCAAGCATGCAGCTGACACTTTCATCTTATAACCTGCAGTGAGTGAGGAGGCAAAGGTTCACAGTCTTGGTCAGGGAGCCTTTACAGAACATGTTGAAGGGTTCTTCTCCGGTCTTTCTCTTCCTCTTTCCTCCATCAACCTGATCCCCAGTTTTTCACTGGACTCTTGTGGTTGTACAAACAATTGCATTACCCAAAGATGGCCCTGTTCTTCTTAACGTGGAGTTATCAGGCTAAAACAATCCTGTTTATTCTCATCCAGCTAATTTGGGTCTTTGGAAGCAGTTTGGCTGATTCATTGAACCTGGAGGAAGGACATCTTGAATAAGATGATTTTGAAAGAAAGGCAGCCAATCACATAACACTGATTATAGTTTCAATGCTACTCATTTAGCGTTGAAACTATAATCAGTGTTATGTGATTGGCTGAGTGCTGATCATGTGATTACAGTAGCATGCAGGTAGGTGTGCTGGGTACGTAGAAGCATGCACTGGGGCAATAGATTCATGGATGTAAGTCAATTTTTCTGTGTTCCTGTGTTTTGTTCCACATTGTGCTCTGCAATCTTTCCACTGGTTCCACATTTTGATCACTGTTAAACATTACCAGGGAGTGTTGTCAGACTATAAGCCTACAGGTGTATGAGCCTGCTAGGAAAATTAAACCTAAAGATCTTAACATAAAGCTAATTGTACTTTGTCAGTTCATTAAGTCCATTAAAAAGCGTGTGACAGTGATCCCACAGTTATCAGCCCCCGAATCATTCCTGTACAAGATGCTGCCTCTTCATAATGTCTCTGGGTCATTATTCATAACATGCAGTCTAATAATACCTGTAATGCTTATAATCAGTTATTTCTTCAGCTCTTTGGCACACCAGAAAACATAAATCTACACATCAGAAGCATTAAAGTTATTAACATTATTACTGTTATTATTACATTCATCAAACTGATCCTTGCTCCCTCAAAATTCTTTATATAGACTTGTGATGCTACAGCACACTGCGCATTGTTTCAGCAGCACTGGCTAGCATTGGCACATACAATACTTCAGAATCAGAATCAGCTTTATGTGCCAGGTATGTGTACACATACGAGGAATTTGACTCAGGATTGTACATTTGGTATCTGGTATTTGTTCATTACTAATACAATAATAAAATCACACAGGCTACTATATGTCCACACTATAAACAAAAACAATATAGGCAGATTGAGACAATAGTGCAATGAGTGCAAAGGATGCAGGAGTAAATGTATTATTATTATTATTATTATTATGATGTACATGTCGGAGGTGGATGTGATATACAGCTACACATACACATACATGCATACATGTACACATTGACACAGTGCGATGGAGCATAGTGCAAAGAATAAATAAGTATTATGTGCAGGTGTTATGTACTTTAGGTTGGTGGATTTGGTATACAGTATATACAATATGACAATATGAACAGTATGAACAGCTCTGAAATAGAGAATGATGAACAAATAATAATAATTCTTATTTTTCCAGTGGAAATTATTGCACAGGAATTGTTCCTGACACTGTGAGTCAAAAATCAGCATTTCATCAGAGTGATGGCTTGTGGGAAGAAACTGTTCCTGAGTCTGTTGGTTTTGGCGAACAGTGTTCTGTAGCGCCTACCAGAAGGGAGGAGCTGGAACAGGTTGTGTCCGGGGTGAGATGGATCTGCAGTGATGTTTCCTTCCCGTTTCCTGACTCTGGAAATGTATAAGTCCTGAATGGAGGGCAGGTTGGCACCGATGATTTTTTTTCTGCAGTCCTGACTGTCCATTTTAGTCTGCTCCTGTCTTTTTTGGTGGCATTGGTATTTGAGAGTACAACAAATAGATTTGTTTAATTTGTAATTTATTAAAATGATGTTCTCCTTGAGAACTGTCAATACATTTATGCGATCATCTGGATTTGCCTTCATCATTATCACTTGCTCTTAAATTGAGAGCTGTAAAATGTAAAGTAGAGCCACTAAATTTCTGCGTCACCTGTGAAACCCCTAAGGTAACTTGACTTTGATTGTTGGTTTAATGGAGAATTGACTGAAGTCATAATGAATTCCTTGATTTGAATAGACTACTATACACACTTGAAGAAGGCTCATCATCCACGGGCAGCAGAGCCGTGATCCATCTTCTCTCTCCCGTTCCTCCCTTGCTCCCTCGTCCTTGCTAATTGCTCGTAAAGTCTCTTTATAGGCAAAGTAACGAGGTTTTAAATCTCCACTCTATCTTTACTGAGCTGGGGAAATTTCACAGACTGCGCCACACAGTCCTAATCAGATGAACTGCTTAGTTTACTGCTCACTGAAGGGCACACAGAGCAAGTGCACTGTAGTGTATGTTAGTGTGCAAGGGGGATAACATTTTGGAGGTTTTAAGCATGTTAGGGAGGCTGAGTACACCTGAGTGCACGTTCCAGGATGAGCTGAGCTGTGCATATCTACCGAGATATCTGTGTAATCAAACGGGACCAAATAATTTGTGTATACTCATAGTTGTAAGAGTTGGATGAATCTATGCAGTTCTACCGTCTGTCAGGATATTCAAACAGAAAAGAAAAAACAAAGCGAAATTACCCCAGTCCACTGGAACTGCATTTCCTTTAATGAGCTAAGATTTTAAAACTAAGACAAGAATTGATATTGCACGATTCTGCGAAGCAACCGGTTAAGTTTAATGGTAGCTTCTTATGTTTTTTAAATTCTTTGTACAACACCTGCCTGTGGCTAAATTAACCATAAGAAAGAACGCGGTTAAAGGCAGGCTGGGAAAGATTAGGATCACTGTTAAATGCTGGTCAGTGACCTACACACTCTAATTGATTCGGATCATTTCTAGTCAAGTCTAAAGTTGGTGTTATGTGGTTTTAAGTGACATTTCTTATGAAATGTTCAGAAATGCAATTAATTCATGTAATTATCTTCTGTGTTCCAGGTCAGTATCTGGTGTGGATGTGGACCCTGATCTGGTGCACATGGAAATGCAAGATACGAGTGGAGGTATAGTGATGTATCATCTGCTCATTTTATTTATTTATTTTTTTTTAATTTATTTATTCATGACACTGTTAGGGCCTGGCCACACCAGCACAGTGAAATTTCAGAAAGATATGTATTAATTTTTAATGGAATTTCCATGATTGGTAGATTTGCTCACAGAGGCACGTGGAACTTTCTCAGAGAGTTCAACTTCAGGTAGATGGGTAGTTTAAATATCAAGAGGATCTTAAGGTAGATTCAGCATGAATAATTGCCAACAAAATAGCTCTTAATGTCAACGAAAAATTGATTGATTGATTTGATCCCACAAATAGTAGCTTCTACGTTCTTGCCCCTGCTTCTCTGTTTGAATAGCGGAATATAACATAACAGAGAAGGAGGGTTTCCTTCTATGTCATACAAATCGCCCTGTGTTCATTGTCTAACCTGTAATATTTCTTTCCCATTGACTTGAATTTAATTGATTCTCAAAAATCCAGAAAAACGCGCTCTACAGTACGATTCATTTCCCCATATTTGCTCCTAAAAATAGATATGTGCGAACAGGAATTTTTTTTTACAAACAAAGTGTGGAAATAAAGACACAACCTACCATAATCTTCCACCCCAACTCTGCTGGCGCTGGTTGGATGGAACTGTCTCTCTGTGGGCCGCTTGAGCAGCCCGTTATACAAAAACAAGAGCCGGACAGATGCGTTGTTAGCCCACTTTGATTCTGCACCAGCAACATCCTCCTCCTCACGATCCTCAGTACCAGTTCAGTTGTTAGTCCAGGTTCTGCAGCTAAAGCTGAAGACATCAGGAATAAGATAAGCCAGGTTTTGGTTTGGCTGGCCATTTAGCTATAACATGCCTTTTGTTGAAACATGCTCAACTTTTCATGAAGCCAATGCGTTTGTCAATGTCACTTTTTGTGAACTGACCAATCACAGCCTGGATGGATACAACCATTATAAAAAAGGCTGACATGCTACAGCAAACTTTCAAATGTTGAACTCATTGTTCTTCGTGAGTGGTTATGATTGCTGACAAGTTAGAACTTGCAACCCACAAAAATGAACCTGCTGTATTTTTCAACTGTAATTAATATTATACTAGTTGTAAGCTATATATACTATTATGTGAAATTATAAGAAATATACAAACATCATGCAATTTATATATTGATATTATTCTAAAAGTAGTATTAAATGAAAATTATCCATTTCATTTGATGTAACCTAATGTCATCCTAATACACTCATTTATACTAGTTACTCCTCCAGGTTGTGGATGGTGTCTCTGCAGTGGACAGATGTAGATTTCGCCAGAACCAGGATACCATTGTGCCAATATGTGCCCCCTCTAGCCGCCTCCTCCTGAGAGCAACATCTGTTTCACTGAAGCTATTGTTAAACACTGGTTGGTGTATACCGTGTATCTGTCCCCAGTTCAAAATCTACATGTCCCACACTCCACAAGCAGCAATGCACCAATCAAAGCAGTGATGAGTGATCTGTGTGTTAAATCATTAGATCAGTGTTTCAATGGGTCAGAGTTTCAAAACAAAACTATCTCAATATTTAAAAAAAACTTATATTTTTAAGTGTCCAAATACCAGGGTCTTTATCTCCATAGTCCTCCACTGGTTTTGGCCAGGTATGTCAGACATTCGGACGTACGTATCATTTCTGGAGACACGAGTTACTTCTCTACAAGACTTGCTGAGGTGGAGGATTCTAATGTGCTCTCTCCCCATCATGGCAGTACTAGTCTTAGCATAGCCGGCGGTGTAAATGAAGGTAATGGAAAAGATGAATGGTTGACCTTGCTGTGGGTGGGGAGTGTTTCTGTGTGGGGAGGGGGTCAATGGAGAATTAATGGATAAATTAAAGAGGGTTGTCAGGGGCCCCCGGGGCAACAACATCAAATCTGGATTATCATATCAGCTGAGTGACAGACAGGTTAGTGCTTAACTCCCTACTAGGGGCCAAAAGGGTAATAGAAGTAGTGTGTACTTGAGATTGTGTGGGTTTGTAAATGTGTGGTGTGTTTTGGACTTCCCCTCTGTGGTTCTCCCAACCTATAATCCCCACTCTAAATAAACCTGGGCAGGCAAAATCAGAGAGTATTGACAGATAGTGAAGGGCAAAATGAAGGATACGTTTTCTATATTTCCAGCGCCACACTCTATTTTTCCATAAACCTCACCTCTAGAAAAGTACATACACCTCTTAAATCCCCTGAGGAGACACGCAGTGTTTTAACCCACACAAGGAAAGATGCTGCCTGCAATGTGAAAGCTGTCAGCTTGAACAAGGCTGCCTGTGTTTGTAGAGGGTGAACGGGAGAGGCTGTCTGTCTGGGCTAGCTGCCCAGGCACAAGAGCTCTTTCCAGGGCTAGGTAGTACCACATGGTCCCCCCATCCTCCTTCTCACTCTCCACCCTTTTCTCCTTCCTGCTTCCATGCCCAGATAGATAGATAGTCGGAGGGGGGCTGGAGCGATCAGGCATACCAAACCAATCTGTTCGGCCTGTGCCCCCCTGTCAGACATGGCACCGCCAAGGTTAAATGGTGGCATGCTACAAGAAGCACACACAGTCGCAGGATTCTCTGCAGAGGCGAAGAAATGGGTGGGGTGTGTGCTGGTTGACGAGAGGGACAGAACTCCAGAGAAATGAGGGTGGTCGATTGATAGATGAGCCATGGGAACAGGGAGGCTGGCAGGGAGTGGGTTTGTGTGTGTCATTAAGGGAGATTGATGTGCAGGAAAGCGTGAGTGTGCCGTGTTCATGCACTGATTCACACAAGCATGCACACATTCATACAACACACTGGTAGGCGTGTAGGGACATGCATGTGGAAACAAACACACACACACACACACACACACACAGCACACATAATGTAATAAATGATTCACAAATGTCTTCACCTTTGTTTATTTATAAATCACTATTTAGTTCTTTGGGTTTCCTTTGTCATACCAGCTCAGTTGCACAGGTGGAGGAAAAATGTGTGCATGCTTAGTATGCGAGTGAGTTCGCAGGTGTGTGAGAACAGCAAGAAGCATGAAGAAGTGTATGTGCCACAAGCTGGAATTGAACACTTAGCCCAATCTAATGTTTTTTTAATGAGCTGCTCTGATTAACTGTCCAGGCTTTTCACTAAATTAACCAGTCCATTTGTTAGAGCAGACACCTCTTGAGCAAAGACACAGCAGAGTACAGAACCAACGAAGACAGACTAATGTGAAGCAGAGTTGTCATAAGTTTATTTAGTCTGTGTGTGCTCTCTGGTACTTGATATGGTAGGCCTTCTGGTATAAATAGTGTAGTCATACGGATATATGACAATGCCAGTGGTGGAACGTAGGGCCTCCCAGGAGTGATATAGGTTACTAATTAGCAGGTAATTTCCCCCAAAGAACTTTACGTAACAAGATTTTACCATATTTAGAGGCTTTTTGCACAGCACGTTAAGTAGCGTTACGATAATTTTTGTTAGGTAACAGCCACAGGCCATTCCCAAAAGCTAGCTAGATGTTGTTTGTTGTGGTGTGTTAGGTGCGAAAGAAGTAGTCATCTAAAATTGCTACAACATACAAAAATAAGCTGAAAGTTAAGCAAAATACTCAACATGGTAGCCTGTTATCTAACAATAATTGTCCAGCTGGTCCAGTATGCTAGCATTGGGAATATTTTTGTCATTGTTGCTTCAAAACAACAAAAATTTGAGGAACTTTGGCAGACTAGGGCTGGACAGTCTCCCCATCCACCCCGAAGCACTGTGCTGATCAGCTGTCTCCGGTGTTCAGAGACATTTTTAACACCTCACTGGAGACATGCCATGTGCCAGCCTGCTTCTCCACTATCATCCCTGTCCCCAAGAAACCAAGGACCACAGGACTAAACGACTACAGACCCGTCGCCCTGACCTCTGTGGTAATGAAGTCCTTTGAACGGCTTGTGCTGTCTCACCTAAAATCCATCACAGACCCACTCCTGGATCCCCTGCAGTTCACATACAGAGCCAACAGGTCTGTAGATGATGCAGTAAACATGGCCCTTCACTACATCCTCCAGCACCTGGACTCCCCAGGAACCTACACCAGGATCCTGTTTGTGGATTTAACACCATCATCCCGGCCCTGCTGCAGGACAAGCTCTCCCAGCTGAACGTGCCTGACTCCACCTGCAGGTGGATCACAGACTTCCTGACGGACAGGAAGCAGCACGTGAAGCTGGGAAACCATGTCTCTGACTCCAGGACCATCAGCACCGGTTCCCCTCAAGGCTGCGTTCTTTCCCCCCTTCTCCCTGTACACCAACAGCTGCACCTCCAGTCACCACCCTCACCACCCTCATTAGGCTCATCTCTGGTGGGGATGAGTCCGCCTACAGGTGGGAGATCGACCATCTTGTGACCTGGTGCAGCCAGAACAGTCTGGAGCTCGACGCTCTGAAGACAGTGGAGATGGTCGTAGATATTAGTAAGAGCCCAGCTCCACCCTCCCCCATCATCCTGTGTGACTCCCCAGTCACCACTGTGGACTCCTTCTGTTTCCTGGGCACCATCATCTCCCAGGACCTCAAGTGGGATCTGAACATCACCTCCCTCACCAAAAAGGCCCAGCAGAGGATGTACTTCCTGCGGCAGTTAAAGAAGTTCAGCCTGTGAGACAAGACAATGATGGTGCACTTCTACACCTCCTCCATCACCATCTGGTACGCTGCTGCCACTGCCAGGGACAAGTGCAGGCTGCAGCGCATCATTCGCTCTGCAGAGAAGGTGATTGGCTGCAATATTCCTTCTCTTCTGGACCTGTACTCCTCGAGGACTCTGAGGCGAGCAGGAAAGACTGCAGCTGACTCCTCCCACCCTGGAAACAAACTGTTTCAGACTCTCCCCTCTGGCAGGAGGCTGCAGTCCATCAGGACCAAAACCTCTCGCCACAACACAACAGCTTCTTCCCGTCTGCAGCTAGCCTCATCAACAAGGCCCAGGTCCCCCTCTGAAACTCCCCTCTTGCAAATAATACAAATGTCTCTGCACATGTAAATATTATTTCATTTCATGTCATGCACAAACCTGGCACATGGCACATATTTGTATATTAATTGTTAATCTTTGTTGTTGTATATCTTTATATTGTCAATTCATATATTTATGTACACAATACTCTCTTCCGTTGCAATACGTCTGCACAACACAAACCCGGAATAATGCACATGTAAATATCTGCCACGTTCTTGCTCTGCAAATAGTTGTATTATTTTTCTCTATTCTTTTTATTATTCTTATATAACTTGCATTGTTTATTCCATATTTATATATTTCTACATTTATTTATGTCAACTGTATGTTTGTCTACGTGTAGTACCTTAATACCGGAGCAAATTCCTCATATGTGTAAAACACTTGGCAATAAAGCTCCTTCTGATTCTGATTTCACTTATTTTCACCCATAATGAGAAGTTAACTTGACAAACAGGTAATATAACATTTGCTTGTAGCGTACGCTGACTTACATTAGCGACGAGAAGAGAGCATTTTGTTGGACCCTAGTCTTTTCATCACAACTTGCTAATATTAAAATACCATCGTTAGATACAAACCTCTTCACAAAAGACTGAAGGTAAAGTAACGTTTGTCCAGTTGTGCTTGAACATACTCTCTTCATCTGACTTTCTCACAGGTAGGTTTTTTATCTCAGTCACTCTCCCCTTTGGAGGTCAGATCTGGGTTTCCCAGGTCTGCTGTTGGTGACATTCAGTTAGCTAGGGTCCATCACACAATGTCAACTTCACACATGATATCTCATAATCTAATAATCAGAGTTCCATGAAAGTTCCTGAGTGCATTCGTGCCCCCAAGAGTTAAGTTTTATTTGTTCATGTGTGATGGCTTTGTGGAGAGAGTTAAAGTCACGGTGAACTAGTTAAGAATTGCATGTAGTCAATCGAAGGTCAATACAAAAACAGGGGTTTGTGCAGTATGTCTGCTGCAGCAACTCACTTCTGAACAAACAACCTCACCTCATGGTCGTGGGTTTGTGTGTGTGTGAGCATTTCTCTATTGCCAGCTTGTCACCTCAGGGAGGAGAATAACAGCTGAATTTCAGCAGGCAATGTTGCTGATGCAGCTGCAGGTTGAAATTCGATACCGGGTGAGCTTTGCAACAGGCGCTAACCTCTCTGTGTGTCTCTGTGAGGATAATCCCTCCTGGCCATTTGGATGCTGGAACGGCTATATGTCTATGGGGAAGCTGTCATATCTTATAGAGTTTGGAAAATGATGTCTCAATTTTCTACTGGCCTAGTTCTCTCCCATATTTTTTTTTCCATGTCCTCTTCCACTTTGTATCTCTCTCTCTGTCTGTTGGCTTGGTTTATGGATCATCTTTAACATCAATATATCCTGGAATGTCAGTGGTTTAGCATATTCCATGTCAAATGTATTGCACTATGTGAACCTGTGCTAATGCATGTGAAGCATATGAAACCAGCTCTTTTAAATTTTACCATAAGTAACCGTTCTTTCTGGCTTGTTCCCGTGTGTCACTACAGGTTACCTGTACGTTACCTGCCTCATCCAGAACTGTTCGGATAAAATGGTGACTGCTCAATTCCTCGGCAAAATCGACCACAACTCCCTGCTGGTGCAGGACGACTACATATTTGTCAAGGTAAACATCCCCACAGCCGGGGAGCTGAAAGGGAGACTTGTGTATTATTGAATTCTTTTTATGAAATAGAAATTGTTTGTCATCTTTTTTTCATGTCATACGTTTCACAAAGATGTAAAGTTTTCAAAAATTCCCCAAAAGTTTCACATTGACACTGGCTTCAGGGATTTAGTTTCTTGAATGTAGACACAGTATATGCAGATCCTAGTTGTACTAAGCCTAAATAAAGGTCAGTATCTGTGTTCGTTTTTGGAATCAGTTCCAGGTAGGTACCATAACTGATCTAAAACCCTAAGGTGGAACCTCAATAGGCTATACTGTCATTTCACTTAAAACCAGTGACACAATTAATGCTAGTGCTTCGCCTAAATTGGACCATATTTCCCACTAACCTGCTGCTCAGTGTTGGAATGTTGCCTCTTTATTTGAGGGTTTTCTGTTTGACTTTATAGAAGAGGATAAACTAGCATGGCCTCATACTTAAATGACAAAAAACATATGAAGTGACTGTTGTGCATTTTCATGCCAAAATCAATATACTAGTCTCAGCCTGTACAAACATTTGCATAATGTGTTCAGTGGCTCTGGGGGAGTCAAGTCTAAGAAAATAACTGACCTGAAGAAAATCACTGCAGTTAACTCAGTCTGAGTTTGAAATAACCCAAACTGAGATACACCTTTAACAGGAAGGCTATGTCACAGACTTCAGGTGAGAAGTTCGAAAGACATGGGCATTTACCAGACAGATAGTTTGACAAAAGATGCTATCAAGTTGCATTGTGGGAAATGTAGGATCCAGTGTTTTGGGGGCTTGGGACTAAACACCACAATTTCTCTGCTTCTGTTGCTTCTGTTGAGCTCTTGAAAGTGCCCCTTTATATCTGTAAAACCTAATTATTTGGACCACTCTGGGACAGAAATGAAATGAGCTGTAAACACAAGACTGACATATTATTCTTTAAAAGTGGATATGGCTAACAAGTTAGCAAGCATTTGGAGTTGTGTTTGTGTCCACCAACTCGCCCTCCACTATGTTTACCTGCTAGTCTCTAACTGTGTGTCTCCTGTCTGCTGCTGAGCAGGTAGTGCCTTTATCATAGCTGTCTCACTTAAAACAGCTGCTTGCTGCTAACAGAAACAAGGTTAATGAGCGCACTGAGACAGAACCAAAGCAGTACATTTGAGGACCATAGAACCAGAATGTGAGCCATGCAGTGAGCTAAAAGACCACATCACGCCCTGTAGAGCTGAGGTGACCTGCAGATTCAGGCGATAATTCCCTTTGGGTTTGTCATAAGGAACGACCCCTCTCACATACACATTACCAATACTGTCATTCAGCATTTGCACATGTGTCGGATCTGTCGGCGTGGTTGTGTTTACGCGCACAACTGAGGCTGCAGTCTTTTTTACTGATAAACTCTGCTGCTTAGATAACACGCAGCACTGTGGGCTCGAAATAGAAAAGAAATGCTATTCGAGACATTGTGCAGAATTAATCTTGCCTTGTCTATAATTGACTTGCCATGCAGGACAGTAGTGTATGCTCTGAGGAGGCCTAGAGCTGAATCCCATTTGCATATGATAACAGCAGAATATACATGAGCTGGTATAATAGAGCCGAATCCTATAGTGGGGTAGAATAGTCAAATCTTTTGGATGTGGGTATATATGTTTGTGCACGTGTGCATGTGTATGCTTGTGTGTAAATGTGTATATGCATGCATGAGTGTTTGTGAATGTGTGTGAGAATAATTAAATCCTCACAGGCAACGATAGGCTGGTCCACTGGTCCACTGTCCCCTGGATTATCCTCCCAGCACTCCCAATAGAGTGTCCTTTCCACTGGGGGATGGGGGACATGTTCTCATCACTTTTCAACATCCAATTATTTCTATCAATTATATCTCCCACAATGCAACTCAATCACAGTTGGTAAGGAGATGATGGTATGTTATGCCAGTTAGCAGCTAATAGTAGTAGCCTAGAGCACGGAGCCTGCAGCAGAGATGAGCAGCGGGTTACAGAGGTCACTTCTTTTCCACCACACCAACAGATTTGTTTCATTTTCTAACTTGTAGTATTCAGCCACAAATGACGCTGTGACATCATACTGTATGCCCCACTGTGATAAGTTCCTCTTTAACAAAACTAACAAACGTAAGTGGTTTTAGTATATTAATTATTCTGCCGTAAAATCAGTATTTCTATTTTTATTTGACTTCAATTCATTTAGAAAACCAAACCTAAACAGTACACAGAGAATACATACACACATTTCTTCAGTGGTGTAGCCAGGTCCTGGGGGTGCTTATCAGATGTTAAGGCTGTACAGAAATGATGCAGAGTCAGAGCTAAGAACGCAGCGTTAGCATTGGCACTCACACATTCACCTCCTCTCACACACACACTTCATCTCCTCCCACTTCACCAGCCATTCTTTAGAAAGCGACTCCTTTTGAACACACAGTCGATAGCGTTTCCTTCAGGGGCTCTTATTTTAAAAACTGGCTTTCCTTGTTTTGTCATTTTTTCATCACTTTTCAGCATTAAAAAAAAAAAAAAAGCTAGTCTTCTCCTTTCAATCACGAACGACGGTTGCAATCACAGCTCAATCTGAACACGATAGAGGCTGAGATATCTGAGAGCGAGGGAGAAAAAAAAAACAAAAGCTCTTCCCACAAAGCCTAAAATAGAAGCGCTGAATAAAAGTTCTCCGTCAGATTTTGAAAGCAGCAGCTAAAAGTTTTAGCAGTGCTCACCTTTCAAAAAGCTAAATGTGAGAGGGAGTGTGTTTCAGAGAGTGTGATGCTCGTGTCTGGGCCCGTTACCTGGGATATGACACGTTCAAGTCCTGTTTAAGTCACTGTCAGTCATCGAGCTTCCTCTGCTAAAATGTAGCCTCAGCTGCTTGGGGATTCTGGTTCAGCGTGCTGTGAGATTTCTGATTGGCTCTCTCAGCAGGGGGCAGCATAATTCAGCCTTTCACACGCAGCTCCAAGTTTGTCAGGTGAATAATAACAGTAATAATAAAAGCAGCTTTATTTGTATAGCACTTTTCAATACAGGTAACAAAGCGCTTTACAATCAATGTATAACATAAACAAAAAATAAAATATTACATATAACTAGGCTTCACACAATAAAAGTTTTCTCTCTTAAGAATTGAGATGAAACCAGGAACAGACTCTGCGAGCCTGATCTCCTCTGGTAGACTGTTACAGAGTGTAGGGGCCCTCACAGCAAAGGTCCTGTCTCCTAGCTTAGACCTTGGAATAGTTAACAATGCCCTACCAGTCTGCATCCTGGCTGACAGGGGGATAAAAGATCAGGGATATATGGTCAAAAACTACACTGAAGAAAATTATAACACTTTTGTTTTTGCCCCCATTCATCATGAGCTGAACTCAAAAATCTAAGACTTTCTCTATGTACACAAAAGGCCTATTTCTCTCAAATATTGCTCACTAATCTGTAAAAATCTGTTAGTGAGCACTTCTCCTTTGCCGAGATAATCCATCCACCTCACAGGTGTGGCATATCAAGATGCTGATCAGACAGCATGGGTGTTACACAGGAGTGCCTTAGGCTGGCCACAATAAAAGGCCACTCCAAAATGTGCAGTTCCATCACACAGAACAATGCCACAGATGTCTCAGGTTTTGAGGGAGTGTGCAATTGCCATGCTGACTGCAGGAATCTCCACCAGAGCTGTTGCCTGTGAATTGAATGTTAATTTTTCTACCATAGGCCTTCTCCGTTTCGAAGAATTTGGCAGTAAATCCAAGAAAGTTGTGTGTATTATTACAACACCGTTTGTGGAGGATTGCAATGTTAGACTGGTCGCCGGGTCTTATTGGGATATACAGTGTTTCACTGCCATGACAGTGAATATGGTCCAGCCAAGGTCTGTGAAGTGCGGAGGTGGGGTTGTTTTGTTTGTTTTTTTGCATTTATCTTTCAGCACAGTGTGAGTTACCATCAGCAGATTGTGAACTCTGTACCATAACTCTACGGATGCACAATGGTGGATGTTGACTACCTCATTTTGTTAGATTATGTCTTTTTTTTCTGTCTTTAAATTGAAATAGTGTTTTCCAAATTCATTTGTTGCAGTTTGTAGGTGCCCTGTCTTGACTCTCTTGTATTCTTACTTTAAATTTGCGAACTGGTCTTACATACAAGTAAACCTAACATCTTAATTAATATGGTTAATAGAGCTTGCACACATGCTGTTTTCTTTGTCTTCAGTCTGACTTCTGTTTCATTCTCAATAATATATAATTATATGATAGTAATATAAAATATCAGTTCTTATCTCCTGTCCTCTTTTGTCTTCTGTCTTCTTTTTGGCTCTTTTGCAATGAACTGACAATTTTTACACAAATGTGTAATTGTGTAAAGTGGCACAACTCCTACTAGACTAAATAAAATGGATTTTAACTATTGGAAAGATTGCCATGATGGGACTCTGTGTTTTATTAGAGTTTTTTGTCCATTTCCCAGGTGACCACAGGGAATCGCACCAGGCACTATGTGTCCTATCGGCGGAACGAGTTTGTCCAGATGAGGTTTCCCAAGTACGCTTTGCCAAAGGTAAAGAAAAACAAACATTTTACTTCCTTCACTGCTAGTTATGCTCCAAGCTATTTTCAAAAAGAAGATCAACAACACATATAAATGAACTATTCGCCTCTCCGGTGAAAGATACACAAATAGTTACTGACAGGCTAGCTAACGCCGTCATGGCTAAATACAGTCAGTGTAACATTATCATGCAACGAGCATGGATTAGTTAAACGTCAAAATGGTAAAAATATAACTGTAACGTAACCGTGGGAATTTACCAGTTTCCAGCATGTTGTGTGAACTACCTTGTGTTGTCTGTCCCGTTCTCCTCCCGTGTTGTCTCCCCGTTCTCCTCCCGTGTTGTCTCCCCGTTCTCCTCCTGTGTTGTCTCTCCATTCTCCTCCTGTGTTGTCTCTCCATTCTCCTCCTGTGTTGTCTCCCCGTTCTCCTCCTGTATTGTCTCCCCGTTCTCCTCCCCTGTTGTCTCCCAGTTCTCCTCCATACTATTGTTATATTTTCATTTCAGATCAAAATTATTGTTAGGGACAGTTCAGCAGTCCTTGGACATTGGTAGAAACAAACCGCCTATTGCCTTGGGCGATTGGAATTATCATTGAATGGATGGACACATCTGTTGCTCTTGCTCTGGTGAGAATTTGGAGTGAAGTGTTTTGCCTTCCAATTAGTCTTAAAAATAGACAAAGAAGTTGAATTGCTTTGATGTTCAGTGTGTTTCAGCAACAACCTGCTTCAGATTTACAAAACTTCACACGTTCATACTCAAAGCCAAGAGACATGTTAAAAGCAGTTTGACCATTTGCTCATGAGAACTTTTCTGCTCAGTATTTCTTTACTTTCCTCACCAGTACCTGTTCCCCAACATGCCAATAACTACAATTTATGATGGAACACCTATTTCTAGGACTTCAAGTTTGCAACTTTACACCGGTTACCATTACCCTTCACTTCTTAGTTTGTGTCAGATGTTAGTACTTAAATTAGTCCTGGTCTGATACACGATAGCTCCCATAAAATATTCACCACGGAGCATCGATCCAGTCGTATTCTGTGTCACCGATGTAGGCAAAAACAATAAATGAGCGCCACTCCAATACAAGACAAGGAACTTTTCCTGTCAGCGTCTGCGGCACAGGGGGCCATTTTAGCGTGACACCAGCCTGAGTGCTATTGATCTGCGCTGATTGAATGCGTCACCCGAATAGATGTCTCATGTATTTTTCAGCCTTAAACTAAGAAAAGAAAACCTTTAAGACAATCATTGAGGACTGTGTGGACTGTGTTTTCCACCAACACACACACACACACACACACTCTCTCCAGGAAACGTATTGAATTACTCTTGTTCGTCTCCAGCCCACCACTTGGTTCTTATTCCTCAATTGCTTGACTACTTCAGTTACAGTACTCAGTGATCCTCAAGGAAGGTGAAAAGGATTGAATTACACACACACACACACACACACACACACACACACACACTCTCTTGCTCTCCTTCCAACAATCAGTTTGATTAGGTGTGGCAGGAAGGCGGTGGATACATCAGTTTGCGTATATGTACATGTGTGTAAGTGTGTGTTTAGTTAAAGTGTGCCCTAGTTGCTCTCTCTCTTTTGTTTCCCCCTCTCTCTACATGTGTCCTCTTACTTGGGTGAGCAGATAGGTCACACGTTGGGAAGCTTTTAGGTTGAGCGACACAGAGGGGTGGGAGGAGAGCTGGGGGCACGGGAGAGAGATGGAGAAGGAAAAGAGGAATGAGTGGAAGATGAAAGGGAAGAGAGGAGGGGGAAGCGTGTGTGTGTGTGTGTGTGTGTGTGTGTGTGCGAGAGAGGGAGTGTTTTGTGCGCCATGTTTTTCCACTGTGAATAATTGAAAGGCTGGAGGATGAAAAATGCAGAGGCCATCAGAGAAAGCAGTTTGGCTCTGTCCTGCGAGACCTGACCCGAGTTATGGATTAACCACACACACACACACACACACACACACACACACACACACACACACACACACAAACGGACCCATGCATACGACTGTGAAATCAAAGGTAATAACTGTCCTTTTTTAGCTTTGCTTCCATCCTGTCTCTTGCTGTCTATCACCCAGGATGTAATCAGCTTTCTGTCTTTTAACACTTTATTTAACATTAGTAACACTACAGCCACAGTGGACAGTCAGCTCCAGTGAACCAATACTTACTGAGTATGATAGAAGGGTGCGAATTATACAATGACAACGGGGGGTCAACTTTTTTTCCAGGTCAAAAAGAAAACCCAGTACATCCAGTGCAGGCGCGGGCTTCAGTAAACTAAAATCTTACAATTCTTACAATATCCTTGCTTATTTAACTAATGTGTCCAGTCTGTAGATGATGATAAATCAAATTCATTACACCAGATGGGTGCCCCATACCACACGACAGCAAAACTGCCATAAAGTCAGACACACAACAGCAGACCGCTCAAAACAGACCCACACAATGTTGAACTGGATCCAAAGACACTGTCTGAATTATCATATCTAATTACTAATTCTTATCATTTCAAATTTTAACTTTTTTAGGAAATATCTCCTTTCCGCTTGCTCATGTTGACTGTGAATGAAAAATAATCATAATAATAATTTTTGGGTCTAACCAGAGTGGACTGTTTAGACCTGCTCTGTATAAAAATTGCAATGAGAAGCCTTTTGTTATTTTTTTTTGTTATGTATTTTGTTTTGTTATGAATTGGCACTATATAAATAAAACTGAATACATTTGAAATAACAGACCTGGATTTTAACATTTACCTAGCCAGGTAAAACTCTGAATTCCAGAGCGAAAACAAAAATGCTTATTGTAGAAAGACTCACAAAATACTTAAAATTAAATAATAATCTCTATATTGATGTCAACGTGTGTATCTACAATAACTAATCCTCAGTTTCACTGCTCATGCTTAAGCACTCGTGTTGGCTAACAATTAATAAAATATGAAATGATATAGGCTAGTGGTAATGAAATGACAGGGTGGGCTCTCAGCTAGCTAAAATCAATTAGCTCATTTTGAGTAAAAGAAATGCTAATTATGACACTCTAAAGGTAGGAAAGTTAAGTGTATTAAAGGAGCTAGATAGCTAACAACTGATATTAACTTACAGTGTCTCCAGCATGTAGTGGACCTGCATGAAGTGATGTGGGCAGACAGACGTTCAACTAACGTCAAGGTTAGGAAATGGCATGGTCCATTTTAGTGGTGTCAGAATTTTTTTTTTCAAGATTCTCAAATATAAGACCTGAGTACAGGAAATACATTTTAATATTTATAATGACAAGTAAGAAAGACCCCCCTGAACTGTTGTTTTTGCCTCTTATGGGGGGTCAACCCCCCCCAATCCCCCCCCGTAATTCGAACCATGTATGATAGGATGTAAGAAGCACAGGGTCAGCCAAGCCACACCCATTTATTATTAAATGTCAGAAAGATGATCAATGATTAATTGATGGAACTCATTTAAAGGGTTATTGCAACCATTACCTTCCCAAGCATGTGCTCAAAACAGAGGCCGAAACACCGGAGACAGCATCACACAAAATTTTGGAAACTCGAGTAAACTCCCACTATAATATTTTTATAAATATTTTATTGTTGAACTAAATCATGCTCTCTGCAAGATAACGTTACATTGACTGCATTTAGCCGACATGATACGTCAGATTTAGATAACCTGCTGGATTTTCAGTAAGTATTTGTGTATCTTTCACTGGAGGCTCACCATTGTCAGCACAGCTAAATTGATTGTTTAATAATAACGAAAAAGTTAGTGAGCTAGACTGAATATTATAAATGCGATTGTTGCCACACTTTACAACAGTTAGACCGTAGTAAGAAATTTTACTGTCATGGCTGTGTCGTTGTCTGCATCACTATTATTGTTTATTATGTGGGTCATGTAAGACTAGTGAAGAAACTGTGTCCCTGAGTACCAGTAAGACGACGATAAATCTAAAGTGAACATTACGAAGCAAATTTTTATTTGAGGTTACAACCAACTAAAATACATATAGTCACCTTAAAACATTACTGACAGGGAAAAAATGGCTTAAGCGTCATTAAAAAGAATGAGAAAATAAATCAGTAAAATAAATAAATAATTAATATGAAGAAAAAATTACTGATTGACATTGTATGGAATGCTGTGTTGGCTGCACAAATAATAGCAACAATACAATATACAATAGTGCAAATAAAAATGGGCAGATAGCAGCAGATACATTATATAAAAAATAGAAGACAGCAAGTATTCCACGATAATTTTGTGTTCAGTGCCTGTATGGCAGAGGGAATAAAAGACTTCTTATACATGGATGTTCAGCCTGGCCCCTGGGAATCTACTGCCAGGTGGGAAGCTCTTTGGTGAAACTGGATCACATTTTACAGAGAAAATATTTTCTGCTTTTCCCTCTGATGTCTTCCGGCTGCTCTACCTCAAGTTTATGGGGTTTACAGAGTTTGTTTGTTAGCAGTTACATTAGCCGCTACTAATGTACTACTGCTAATGGTAAGTGCTGCTAGTTAGCTCAGGTAGCTGTGTAGCTAGCTGTCCTGTCAGCTGACTCTGCCAGACTGGAAGCTTGGTGCTTCGGGGTTGTGTTGGTGTTTACACCTCTGTTAGTACAAGAGCTTTGGACCGCTGGGAGCGCCCAGTGGGCAGAGCCACCTGATAACAGCAGCTACAAATATGAGTAGCTAGCAGCTACTCTGACAAGAAGGCAATTTGGAAATATCTCTAGAATTACTAAGAGGATTGAACTTCACTTGAAGAGGGTATGTTAAAGGAAGCTGAGAGCCAGTCTGGAAGAAAATGTGTGGGTCGACTGTATCAAAGACCTCTTTACAGAATTCAGTGTGAATAATGTCCAAGGAGCATGATGAGGATTTTAATGATTAATGGGATCTGTTAGAGTGTGAAAGGATATGAGCTCAAAGCTGCTGAAAGAGGGTGTGCACACTGAAGAGGCTATTATGTCA